AATCCCTTGAGCCACCCATCTAATCTAAAAATGTCTTAATTTCGTGATAAAAATCGTACCACGTAGAATCCGGATTTTTTTGAGTCTTAACAAGAAGTTGCCGAAACTTCTCCGCACTTAACTTAAATCTTTTAAGTAGTAATTCTTTAATATGTTGGTAATCTCTAGCCTGTTCTTCAGGCTTCCCTAGCAATTATATTATTTACCTCAACCGGAAGGACACCAATGAGATATGACACCCATTGATCCGTGGGCAATTTTAGAACTTTAGCTTGCCTCTCAAAAAGTTCTAAGAATAAACTGATATCATCAGTCTTTAAATTAAACTTGGGCATAAGTTTCTGAAAATTCTGATTAAATACGGTTTCACCTCCAGGTTTAGCAGATTCAGTGTTCTGTTTTGCTTTAAGGCATTCTAGTTCTAACTGTTGCTTTTCAATTTCTTTATTTTGTTGTAGTATCTGAAATTTCCCTCTCCCTAGCTTCCTGTTCTAACTGTAATTCTTTCGCTCTTGTTTGCTTCTCTAAGTTTTCCTTTTCTATCCTATCAGTCATAATACTTTCTAACAAATTTTTAACAAATTCTTCCTCATAATTTTTACTATTCGTTATTAATTGTTTTAAATCTATCACTTTCATATCTTCTAAAGCTATTTCCCCAAGTTCTGAAGCGACAAGGAATAGATCCCTTTTCTTAGCTTTCCCCAAAAAATGCCATTTTCACAAAAGTAATTGTTCAAAACAAATAAGAACTCAAATAGTTATTCACAAATAATACACATAAAAATATATCAGAGATATAAAAAAACACTTTCTTCTTTCTTACAAAATTAGGCAAATAAAAATAAAAGGTTAATAAAAGCATTAATCATTTTGGATTTATTTCCATTCAAACATAAAACGAATAAACAACCTTACTGAATACTTCGTATAAAAAATTAATAACAAATTCTTTTCATTTAGTACAGCCAGACAAAGAAAAACCAGAGTGGCGCCAATAAATATAAACACCTTTAATTAACTATCGTTTTCATGACAGCTACTTCCGTTGGCAACCACATGGCCAACGCAAATACTAAGTAAATTCGATAGGCGCAGGTTTAAATCAGAACACTATTAGAACATTTCTTTACTGCTCAAAGCTTTAAAATTAAAAATGAAATGATAAAATTTAACATTCTACTTATCAGAAAATACACATCCTATTAAAATACAGTACTGGTGTGCTTTCATGAGAAAACCAAAGTAACAAGTTTTTAATATATTCAACAACTTATTTCTTTCACAAGAATTTAACATAAATTTTCTTCTAATGACTTAGAAATGAAAATTGCAATATTGCACTGATGTGCTTTCACATATACACAAAATAAACAGTTCAGATTCTATCACACCAATTTATAACGAAACGTTAAACATAAATACACTGATGTGCTGTTTATTTACGGGAATGGATTTTTCCCATTATCATACAAAAGAAAAATATCTTGTTAGATATATAAATGCAATACTTTGATTGTTTTCTAAAAAACCTTATGCACTGACGTGCTATAAAATGCACTGATGTGCTACGTGTTAATCGGAAAATGTTTTCCCGAATATACCACAAAAGGAAAATATCTTGTTAGATATATAAACCAAACACATTGAGTGTTTAAACTCGTATGCACTGACGTGCTACTTCTGTTTTAGGAATTGATTTCCCGAATAAGTAATAAATAACTACATTATACACTTCAGGCCTGGAAATGAATATTGTGGAGAACACATACCTGGTCTCTTGTCACACAAATCTCGGTGGAATCTCCAATTTTTATTTATTTTTCGTCTGTGACGTCGTGAATGCTTCAGTGGGAACGGAATCAACACTGGTATTGGTGATGCATCACTTTAATTACAGCACATACCACAGATACAACATTTAATTAATACATTTAGAAAACTTGAGTACATATCCGAGTTGGTGACACGATCAGAGACGTTAACGAAGATAGCACTCGTCATTACTGGACAAATTTAGTCTCCAAACCTCAGCTCGCTGGCGGAGCTTCCTCTCTGATAGGCGTCTCACAGAAATCTCATCTCTTTACGCATGCGTATTACTCAGTTAGGTCGTTGCCATTCACAGTTCTTTAAATAAGGTGTTAAAATGAATTATAGTACTCGTAGTGTGAGGAGTTTGCTAACGACGTTCTCTCTAGTCAAGAGCATCATAGGTCTTTCTAGTAGAGTTCAGGAGCGTTCTTTACACCATAATTAAACTGACAGTGCTCACAGTGTTCTGTAGCGCGATCTATTTGCGAGAATGACGCCACATTTTGTAGGAAGATTAAACAAGACGGGGGACGAAGGATTCCGCGAAAAAAAAATTAGTTCCAAAAGTCACCCCTAGGGGAATATTTGGCGCTGTGTAATAGGAAATAGAGTGTTAACAAATGCAAATCAATACGGAAATTACCTTTTATTTTGCATTCAAATGAGGTTCAATCTGGCTGCCGTTGTTGTGGACCACATATTGCATTCTGTGCACAGTATGCACAACAGCAGAAAGTAACATGTCTGCAGGAATCTCCCGTACGGTCCGTGATATGTTATCCTTCAACGTAGCTAGGTCCTGGACCACTCCTTGATAGACCTTGGCCTTAAGATAACCCCATAGCCAGAAGTTGCTTGGGGTAAGATCAGGCGACCGAGGTGGCCATGCAGTTGGAAAGTAGCGACTAATGACTCTTTCTGTTGTGAATTTCTGTCGTAGCATCTGTTGCACCCGTACAGCAACGTGTGGAGGGGCTCCATCTTGCATGGAAATGATTTCCCCCAGGCATTGTCTTTGCTGAAGTGCCGGAATAACAAAGCTGTTCAACATGTGGCGATATTTCTCTCCGGTAACAGAACAGGTTTCCGGTCCTGTCGGGGTAATGTTCTCATAGAAGAATGGTACATATCTCATAGAAGAATGGTATTATCTCATAGAACAATAAATTCCGCTGTGAACCCACACCAAACAGTTACCTTTGGTGAATGTAAGGGAATTGCTGTGACTGCATATGGTGATTTGTCATCCCAAGTTCGGCAGTTCTAGGTATTCACAGTTCCAGTCAGGTAAAAGTGGGCCTCATCTCCCCATAAGATCATCCATCACGGCCAAGCATCATCCACCTCCATTCTGGCAAGAAAGGTGAGAGCAAAAGTCAATCGCTTATCATGGTCGGGGTACAGTAACTCCTGTACACGGCTGATCTTGTACGGATAGAAGTTGATAATCTTTCGTAAAATTTTCCATACCGTACTGTAAGGCATATCCATATTCAATAAGGCATATCCATAATAAAAGGTAATTTTATTCGTATTAATTTGCATTTGTTAACACTCTATTTTCTATTACACAGCACCAAATATTCCTCTAGCGGTGACTTTTGGAACTAATTTTTTTTCGCGAAATCCTTCGTCCCCCGTCTTGTTTAATCTTCCTACAAAAAGTGGCGTCATTCTCGCAAATAGATCGCGCTACAGAACACTGTGAGCACTGTCAGTTTAATTATGGCCACCCGGCACATATCTTTGGAAAAAACAAAGCGAACGAGACGAGATAGCATACACTTCTGAGAAATTACAATTCGGAGGTACAAATGTTATTTCAAATAAGTTACCAATTTATCAGGTTTTCGGTTAAAATTTTTAGTTCACTTTTCACACATAACTAAAGGGAAAACGAATAGCCTTAAATTATTTAATTCAGTTCTTAGATGTAGATTAGATCGTCAGCTAATTTCCTACTAATTTTTTTTAGTTTAAATTCCATCTACTTCTAGTGACGTTCAGTGAGATCTGTGATATATCATCAACACAGTATATTGTTAATAAAACTGCTTGTACCGATAGTCGTTATTTGTTCTAAAGATATCTGTATGGTAGTAAGCTGTAGAAATATAATACTTTGCATTTTGTTTATTATTTTGATATTTTCACCACAGCACGATTTGAACTATTTAAAATGATTACACACATAATGAAATTTTAGAAAAGGTAAATTTATGGTTATTGTAAAAGATTATCATAGGAAGATTTACGTTTAAAGGTACACTTCGTCTATTACTGGAACTTTAGTCCAATAATCTTACTAAACAAGTGGCGAGTTTAGCACAAGAAGACTTAAGAAAGTTTTAAACAACCTTTAATTAAACTGAACTGTTATCAAAAACAGAGCACGGCTTGTGCTACACAGAATCAGTACTTGTGGCAATGCAAACTAAATAGGAAAACTCAAATCAATTTAAACGTTAATCTGCAGTCTAAAATTATACACTCAGATACTAAGCTTCAAGCTGGCTCAAATAATCTAATGACGTACTTGTTTGAAGTCTAGTACTAGTCTAATGGCGTAAGTTTTAAGTCTAGTACTACTCTAATGGAGTAAGTTTGAAGTCTAGTGGAGTAAGTTTGAAGTCTAGTGGAGTAAGTTTGAAGTTTAGTGGAGTAAGTTTGAAGTTTAGTGGAGTAAGTTTGAAGTCTAGTACTAGTCTAATGGAGTAAGTTTGAAGTATCAGCTGCTACAACATGCATAGCCGAGATAACTGTACTGAGCTCGTAGAAATCTAACCATGCAGCGCAAATGCCAGAAACTTTCTGTCTTTAGATCCAAAAACCTCTGGTTAGATGCACAACAACCTAGTTTGCGTTCTGGTGAAGAATGCGGAAAGAAGAAATTAAAGTAAAGATGGAAAATTATAACAACTGCTTAGTTTAACATAAGGAATCCAGTATATTTCAAAAATGAAACTTTCATACTTTACAAAGCTAGCAACATAATGGACCGAATCTTATTCAAAAAAATAAGGAAATATGAATTTAAATTGATAAGATTCTCTTATATCTAGTAACAAAAAGAATCATTATCCATAAAAAAAGTATGAAATGTTCTAAAAATGAATATCACATATTCAAAAACAGAAGCGATGTATTACATAAATCTTAATTATTGTCGCCCAAATGTCGCTTACCTTCTCCAAAGCAGCTTCGTTTATTTTCTGTCCCTTTTTAATAGCCTCTTGAACTTTCTTAAATGCTTTCTCAAAAACGTCTCGCAAGTGCCTGGCAAGTTCTTCTCTTATGTCATTTTCTAACCTAAAAAAAGAAGAAAATGTTTTTAGGTAACTCATTTTACCTTAAACGTTTTTACGTTATTCTTTGCTAAGAAAAAACATCTGAGCGATAAATTTTCGCAAAGGGTAGATTACGAATGTTGTGAGGCTCTCATTGACAATGGACATTTATTGCTTTTGAGAGTCTCCTTTCTTTATAGATCTAAATAGACAGCTATTCTGTCCCTCTTTCGTCGTCTGTCAAATTGTTACGGTTTTTTCTTATATTTTTTATATTAGAAACACATTTTGGAAAGATATATTAGAAATCTATATTAGAAGAAAGATATATTAGATCGTATTTTTATAACATTTCATAACATTATAATAAATGATGTTACGAAATTATGCAGAAGATGTTCTGTAAACTATGTCTAATTATATTATGATGAAAATGTTTTATGCGTTTTTAAAATAAGGAAGAGTTTAAGTAGCCGAATTAGACATCATGATAAGGAAAAAATCAAAACTTGAAGATATTTCAAAAAATGGCGAAACGTCAACCATATACTAAATATCTAAGTTATAGCGCCAAAATCCCTAAAATTTCCGAATTTCTAGGAAACCTGGATTAGTGATTTTATACGCAATATAACGTTAGGCAGAGAGAATAAATTTTGCTGAGAGTTTATTAATAGCAAGCTAAGATGTTTAATTGGTTAATTAATTTTCATGATTTGTCAGATAATTTTCAGAAAGCGTTGGGCAGTGTTCAAGAGCACTTCTTAAGAAAAAATTGCATGGCTTTTTTCTCATGTCCGAAAACAAATATTCGTCATTGGTATCGCTCAAGTTATCGAAATTAACTGCTGATTATTTATTCTAAATCATAATGCTATTTTCTGTTAAATATAATCAAGTTATTGGAGAAGTCAAAGCAATAAGAATCAGCGCGATTCACGTCACATGTTTCACTTTACATCAGTTTACGCGCGTTACTTGTGAAGTTGTTTTATCTTCATCAATTAAACGCAACCGCCGCTCTTCATGAATTTAAAAGTGGTAACAACCTACGCAAAGGCCCTCTATCAATTAATGCATTGAAAGGCAGGCTTCAAAGGTTTGAAGAAACAGGATTCTCAGCATTTCGATTTGGTATAGGGCGGAAACCGGCGTCAGAAGAGATAGTTACTGATATTGCAACTGCAGTCATTAACCTGCATCCATGGAACCATTGCTGGTAGTAGCAATAAAACTCCGCGAATAGCGCTACAATTGGATTTGAATCTTTAAATGGTATGGAAAATCTTTCAGAAAGCTCTTTACTTCCACCCTTACTAGATAAGTCGTATGCAGGATTTAAAACACAACGATTATCACAAATGTGTGGCATTTGCTCTGCCATTTCTTGCCAAGATGGAGGTGGACGATACTTCGCTGTGGAGAATTTTTTGGGAGATGAGGCCCATTTTCACTTAAATGGGATTGTTCGCTACTGCTATTTCTTGTTCAAGGTTTATCTTGGCTGGGTCCAGCCCTTGAAGACGTTGAGTTATAACATATCAAGGTCGTGCTGAACATTCTTGGTGATATGTTATATTCGATCGTTGAGAATGCTGGGCACAGGATCCAATGTGTAATCCACCAGAAGGGTGGGCACATTTAAGAGGTCTATGCCCTCCCCGAAGAAGCGCCTTTTGTTACGTAGGGGAGAAAATGTCATTAAAATTACCTTGACATATTTAACTTTTTAATCTTCTTACTTGGTGCAGCGACAAAATTTAAAAAAAAATGGTTCTTGTTAGAAGTAAAGATTATTTATTAAAACAAAATGTTAAATGCACTTCCGCAACAAAATCATTAATCGGCTATCTCTCACTAAAATAAAGTTAATTCAGATTCCAACCTAAAAACACATAATTTTCAACACAAAACTAGAGATAGATCTAAAACCAACATTTAAAATGCAATACAGAACTCTTCAAAACACCAGGGAAAGATAAATCTCACACTAAAGATGTCTACTCATCAATTCCAAACAAAATAATTAAGCACCAAACTCTAAGAAATTGATTTTTCTACTATCGCAATATGATTACCGAGGTTCTAATTTAAGTAACATTGTATTCGTAAGGATCACATGGGTGACCTACAACAGACCACCAAATAAAACACACAATAATTAAATTAATAAAACATTTATTGAATATTCCCACACATTATAATTTAAGATAGCTGGCCAGACTACTCCAACAAAACATTTTCATTTTAATCTCATTTTAGCGTATTCAAATCATAATTTGACACGTCATAGTTATTAATCCTTTTAAACAGGTCAGAAAAAATTTAAATCATGTTATAAGCTAATTTATAAATCATATTTCTTTCAACGTGACACACCAGTATTTATTTCGGTCATATGAAATTAAAGAAACAAGCAATTAAACATTAAACAAAGATTCACTCCCTCACATTAGTTCAATTATAACTTCTGACAATTAACCATTAATAAAAATAAAAATCACTTTCTCAGCTATAAATTGAGTAACAAAAATATTCAAATTTTTGTCTACATAACATGACAGCTCAAGCTTTAGAATTTAACATTTCCAAAATCCTAAAGATTAATTATTAAAAGAAAAGCAAAAATGAAAATAATGAAACTCACAGATTTGGAAATTCAAGGGTCCATAAAAGAATCTTGCCCTTTACGCGGTCCACACATAATGGTCCTCGAAACGATCGCTCTTGACGGCTGAAGCTACGCCTTCAAGAATTCGAATATCGCCCTTACAAATATGATTACTGCAGGCAAATAGATAACAGAAGATGACAATCTGGATCTTCAAGGCGAGCAATTCGGAATTAAAACGTGATGCAATCAAGTCCAATCTGCGGCTGGGCAAGGTAAAGCGGGACCTACCTCCAAATCATAAGACAACTTTGCCGACTCTCTCACGACGGGAGCCCGCACGAGCTCGGACAAGTTTCCTCAACCAGAACCTCGGAGATAATCAGCTTTTACCGAAACCGCGGTTCGGACAGTATCACGCTACAATCCGCATCGCACACAGTACGGTCCGAAGCAAGCAAACCACGGGAACTGGTCATCATTGACCGCGGCCGACCCCACGGAGGCCGTCGTCAAAGAAGCAAACCCGCTAATGCTCTTTGAAAATCTGCTAAACAAAAATCTGCCTCTCGTGCAAAGGCTTAAGAACGCTCGGAGGCGCTCAATATGTAACGCCTCTCATTCACTATTGGCTCAAACAACACTAAAATTAAAATTTAGCCAATCCTAAACAAAACTTGAACTCCCTCTAGCCAACTAGAACAGAGGCAATAAATAGCCTCTAGAATTCGAAGAAATTCAGACCCCTAACAAAAATGACATACCCTTAGTTCTCACGAAACAGAGGAATGTTTTCAACCTATAACTCTGTCAAATTTATCCGCCGCTTAGAACTATTCGCCCCCGAACAAGCAAATCCGCGAAAAGAGGAAATTGCAACTAGCCGCAACTGACCGCTTCGTGGGAAACGGAAGTAACAACCTCGTCCTTTTTTTGAATCACATCCTCAGCTAAACATAAGCGAGCCGTAAACGAACGAAAAATTTAAACAAAACTAAATATTAAACATTAATTCTTAAATAAAAGCATTACGAATTCATTAGTCACAGTAAATTAATACGTAATAATTATACACAACAAAATAATACGTAACAAAATAAGACATAACATTTTCCATAACACTTTTATTGAACAAAGTGCTAAAGGACACTGAAATATCCACTCTGTAACTCTTTGGGGGCAGTTTATTTGTTGCATTAAAGAGGCATTTGCATTCAAATTTATTTTTTGTTACTGATTTGTCTAGTTCTCGTCTGTGGGCGCTAGAAAAGCGTCACATTTCCTCCTACCTGCAGCGTTCAGAACTAACTGCTTTTTTCATGAAATCTTGTTTTTTCCATTGCGTCATTAGTCCCCCTACCAAATTTGGTGATAGATTGAGTTACAAATGGGTCTGAGTAATGTCAGTTTGGTAAAGTGCAGAATCGCCCACTTATTTGTTTTGCGCATTTTACAAGAGTAAGAAGAATTTGATTTTTGTCAATTTTCTTTGTCTTAAGTGAAAATAGGTCGATGTGTACATGGATAAAGTCATGGGAGTGCGCAATGCCATTTTTGTGCAATTCTGGGATTTCTTTAAAGTGAAAATAGGTCGATGTGTAGATGGATACCGAGTATGTGGAATTCTTAAAAACGCACCAAGCAGTGAGTGATTCTGCACTTTCCCCAAAAAAACAACCCGTATATATTTAAGTGTAGCTTATATTGTTGCCATTGGTAATTCATCCTTTTCTATGCATGAGAGCGACCTCATAAAGAGCACCTTACGCTTATCAAATGCTTGAAGAGCATATGGCGTGATCGCATACTTCCCAGATATAAATAAAAAAAATCATGATTGGGAAACATTAGGTAAAAGTGTTGAGGCATCTTCAGTTGTCAAAATGATTTTCTTGAAGAATGCATTCGAATCATTCAAAAATCTTATCGAATTTCTGAATTCAATGCCTTGCAGGTGTGAAACTGTTTTCTTCGTTCTAGGTGGCACGCGACTTATAGGAAAATTGAATAAGTTCGTTAGTAAAAAAGTCCTTTTATAGGAAACTCTTCTAGTGATACCGGGGCAATCTGAGTAGGAGCCATGATATACCGAGGCCACTGAGATACCCCATGGCTTTCAGCATTGCCTGCTTGGTTCCGTGGATTCCATTTTCCCCAGACAGTCATGGGAATCTGACCAACACGAGTAGCAGTATTACGAAACAATATCACGAATCACGGTAGGCCATGAGCCTGCCGCTGTCGAATTCCAATACATGCTGGTGGGATTTTCTCTTTCTTACACGAGGTATAATGCTGTCTTTATAAATGCGATTTCCAAATGAGAAACCCTCTGTGCGATTTTCCCATTTATCCATATGTAGATGCAATTACTCATGTCTGCTTTGTGCGCATACGCTAGAAGGCTAATCATTTGCAGTATGTATCCCAGTATGTGGTACCTTTCATGCAAATTTGAAGATTGTTTCATGCCGCCTCCATCGTGTAGCAATTTTAATGTCCAGTAGTGTAGACATGCATTTCCAAAATTTGAATATTAGTTGAAATTATCTGAAAATTCAGCCTCATTTCACTAGGTGATTTTTTTTTTAAATTTAAATTTTTAATTCTTTCGTGTTACTAAAGTTGGAAAAAGCGCAATCCTAAAACATAATTATTATGACGAATAATTAATAGACGAAATAAAAATAATGAGAAGGTTAATTTCTTTAGTTTCATGAACACTAAATTTTTGAGTTTACCAAACTAAAGTTTCTATGACTATATAAATAATGTAAATAAATTGTTTAACTGCATACTGTAATTACTGAGATAACTTTTAAATAATTTAACATTCTTTATGTAAAACAAAAGATTGCGTTTGCAAAAATATCTGTAAACTTTCGTATTTTAGGTTTTAGTGTTGTCTTTCAATTAATATAGTTAGTGGTTGCAAGATTTTGGAAGTTCTAAGATTTTAATTTGTAGATACTTAAAAGCAAGAGTAAAAAAATTAAAATTTCGAAACATATGGGTAAGAACACGTACTCTGCTTTCTAAAGCAACGAATTAAATGTATATTTGTGCCGTTTAAATGTTTTGGCAATATCTTTGTTTATAGTTATGAAAATTAGTTCAGAAAAAATATTTCAGAGTTTATTTGTATGACTGTTTTTTCCATTTTAGTGTTGTTGAATGATTCTAACTGAAGAATAAAGTTTCCTTAGTCGGATACTGCAACTAGTTAGTTCACCGCTGATAAATTTTTATCTAAAACAAGTTTATAGCTGATAATTTCTTTTAATCCCGATTAAGTTGATCCATGGTAATTTTTTCTAGTCCAATAAACTGCATGTATAAGTGTTACACTTTGTTACACTTATAACTTCTAGTTTACTTTGGTAGTAAAAACTAACTATAAGTGAGAAGACTGTGTAGGGAATTATCCTAAATCTTGAGTATGACAAAGCCCGACGAAGAATGTAAAGAACATTATATTAATTAAGATAAAATTTCACAAATGGCACCGACTCGTGCGTACAAAAGCAAACGCTTTTGGCTTAATTCAAAAAGGTAATGATTAACTTAAGATTAAGCGAAATAAGATTAGCCTAACGGCTCATAGGATTAATTAACGCGCAGGCTGACTCTGGCTCGTAAAAGTCGGCAAAAACAAGCCCAATGGCAAGAACCGCTCAGTGCTACAGAAGTCTAATTACTAATAAATCAAAGATATCAGCGTGGCCTTCAGGCAGGCAGAACACGCTTTAAATACTAACTTCTTTCCACCTCATTTGAATACAAGCCCGCTAGATCATTTACATTCTGGCAGGAAAGTGCGAGTTGAAAGCAAGAGCGATAAAATTAATTGGTAAGTAAATTAAATAAATCCTTACACATTTAATGAAAAATTTTAATGTAATAAAGAGTTGAGAAAATGCAAAGCAAACCTTTGGACATCGTCATTCTGTTCCACTCCTAGTACTCTGTAAAGAGGAGAACCTTCTTCCATGCCCAGTATAAAGTGTTCGAGAATATTGTCTGTTGCCGACTGTAACACCGCTGAAAAGGAAATAATTTTATCTAGTTTCGAAAGCATTATGATTCACTCTTATATAAGGAATTGGAATTAAAAAAAAAATGAGTGTAGAATGGGGAACAAGAAGGGATTAGCATATGATACAGCTTATGCAAAATCTTTATGTGATTTCGATTTAAAAAAATCCTTCGCGAAAAAGGAAAAATAATTTAGATCTTTCCTTACAGGAAACTTGCGCTAAATATTCAAAAATTCTAAGAGGTAACCAAAATTCTAGCAAAGAAGCCAAAGATTCTATTGTTTAAATTGTCTTAGTAAATGATTAATTAAAATATAGGTTAATAATAAAATGGAAGTCTAGATTATTTGCAAAGCTCTTTTGCAACAACTATAACATTTTTATGCTGCTGCTATAAAAGTGCATTTATGCAGAATCTGTAGAGACATTAGGTATTTTTGGAAGCAAGAGATATGAAAAATGAGCAACGCCTTCTCCGGGAATCGAACCGCGGACCTCTGGAATACGAGCCCAGCGCGCAGACCACCACACCACGAAGGCATGCTAAGAAGGCGGGAGAAATATGTTATAAATCAGGCTACCCGAACTTCAATTATTAAGATCGCTTACTCTTCTTTCAAATGCAAATAGAAATGTGTATGTTGTTAGTATATTCGCATGTTTTAATTTTTTAGTTAATTAAAATAATGTAAAAATATAGTGCACTGCATTATATGTGTGCACGGTATTGCATGTAGATTAGCCTGTAATTTTTGAATGATAAATTTCCATTCTCCCATACCACGTCCAACTAACAACTGTAGGATCCGTTGTTCAGATACCGGAAAGTGCATACTTAATTTTTCTTGTCTCTTACTTTGAAAAACCTAATGATCTTCATAATGCAACCCATGAACATTAATAAAGAAATAATAATGTTTATTTCTAATGCAGTAAAGACAAAATCACATTGTATTTAATTTCAGAGCCCAGGTAAACAAAAATAAAGATTATTGTTTTATTTTACTCAAAATAGGAAAAAGTTGTACACTGGACAAAAAAAAAAAAAAAAAAAAAAAAAAAAAAAAAAAAGAAAAGGCGGGGGACAGTTCTATATCTTCTCGTTCTACTGGGCCGATTGACAAAATTCAATTTGCGTTTTCCATGTCTCGATAGTGCGACTTAGGATATATATTAGATTTATATATGCTTTATTCTAATATAGATATTTTGATATAAAATCGGATTTTTTCTGAAATAGTATACGAATGTTTTTCCATACTTCGATTCTACGACTCAGTTTTCAGGCTGAATGTGCCTGGATATTAAATTTTGTAACTTTAAGTGAGAAATTTATGGAGAAATTAAAAAATTTATCTTATCGAATTTTTTTCAGTTTGCTCCAAGAATAATTCACTTGGCGAACTTCTTAATTTATAGCAACCTATTTTTAGTCCAAAGGGGGAATTTGCTCTGAAGGACTATAAATTTCGTTTTGGCATTTTGCGTTGATTCACTACAAGCGTTGTTTTACTTTTCAAATTGTTGCCATCAAATATTATCGCCCTGGTTTATATTTAAAGAAATTAAAGAATGAAGAATCTGCATCAATGTACGTATGCCTCTTGCGTTGTCTTAAAACAACGGTACCTAAGAGCCTCCTGCGAATATGGGCATTTGAAAGCCCAAATTTGAAATTTGGAATTTGCTTTATTATCGATTTCATATTTTGTAAAACTTTATGGAATTTTTGATTAACAAACTCAAAGATTTCAAAGCGAGCAATGGCAACGTTGTACAGAAAAAACATTTTTATCTCCAGCGCGTGAGTCTCTGTATCGGAAATTCTAAAGATATGCTCATTTTAAAACTGTTTTGCGATATTGTTGTTGAATTATGATTTATGTGCTAAGAACATTAACAAATAAATGTAACGCAGAAAATGTTGAAAAACCGCTCCTTTGCAACGCAATTTAAAATCTGAAACATTTCAGATTTTTTTCCTTTTCTTTTTCCTTATTGTTCGTGAGTGGAAAAAAAAGTCATTGTTCATACTCTCAAATAATTTTAAATAAAGTGCGTAAACCAAATTTTCGTTTTTATGGCTTATACGCCAAATTTCAAAACGCGCAAAAATGTAAATTCACGTGTATCTTAGGAAAATCGAAGAAAAACACTAATTTTCTTGTGGGTATGCTTAGAAATATATCTACTTTAAGATGATAACAAATTTTTTATTGGTTATAATTCAAAATTGTTTTTGAAAAATTTATAAATATTATTTAAAAATACAAATTTAAAAAATAAACCGTGGTTTGAAATATGGAAAAAAATTGGTATGTCAATTCAGAAAATGTCCTGTTTTGTATCAAAATACCTACATTAGAACAATGCTATATATAAATCTAATGCATATCCTAAGTCGAGCTTTCGAGAGATGTAAAACGCAAGTTGAATTTCATCAATCGGCCCAGTTGAACGAGAGGATAGAACTGTCCTCTTTTTTTCCCCCTCGCAGTGTACATTTAGATAAAACAAAAGTTATTTCGCCATGTAATGTTGTTAGAAAATGTTTGTCTTGAGTTCCTTTTAAGGAAATTTATATATGTGTGTATGTGTATAATCTTTACATATATAACATAAAGAATGTACATAATATAAAGAATAATATATGTATATAATGTAAAGAAAAGAACAAATTCCATGATATGCATTAGAGTTAACATCACATTTGACTTTAAGAAAGAAAGTCAACCCCAAGATCCGTTTGGTATAACTGGATTGTCTTACATGACAGGATAATTTACTATAATCGTTGTTGCAATTACAGATTATTGTGAATATTATTGTGTTACATGAAAAATCATTACAGTAAGTATTATTTTGACTAAGAAAGAAACCTAATAATACTTCAGGAAAACTGGGTTGTCTCTCATGGATCACAGCTGATTAGAGACTGTTGTAAAAACACCCTAATTAGTTGTGATCGAACACAATGTAATCGATTATGATGTTATCGGAATTCGAACTTTGGTGTTTTCTAAAATGTTAGAAATACAGTTTTAACTTCGTTTAAAAGTTTTGTTTATACGTCTGTTAAGCACTGATTTTCTTTTGCACTTAATTGCTTTTCAATGTCTTTCTAAATAAATGGATTAGTTAACGATGGGCTATTTCTTGGCTACACCGCTCGCCTGATTAGACCTTATTGGACTATTTTAAATGCAGCTTTATAGGAGTAGTTGTCTGCCTATTAAAGCCACATTGTTTAGATGAGTTTACAGCCATCATCAAAAAAGAATCTCTAAAGGTCTCAGATCAGCAATATTAAGAATGCTTTCAATGAGTTGCAATAAATTTCCAAGATTTATTATAAAATGCGGTGGATCTATTTAATATTAGACATATAAATCTTACAGAGGTGCAACTTTAGTTTTAAAATAAATATTGCATGCATTTTTGTCAAGCGGTCGGAGGAAAATTATATAACATAATAGAGAGTATCAGCTCTCAGACTGTTTTAGGCAAAATTCGGAGTACTGAGAGATCGAGCTAGCTCTTTACATGCGCTTTGCATTGCTTTGTGTTTAACGTTCTTAGAAGTTTTCACTAAAAACTATTATCTGTAATACTGAGAAGAGCTGTAAGAGTACTTTGGTGGAAATGTGAAGGTCTAGAACATTTTTGCGAAAATAAGTTTCTTTTGTGAAAGTAAATTTTATCAAGCTGTCATCGGTTCACTCTAATATGTATTATAATAAAGATTTATTTGTGCTATTTTGCTAATCGTTATTGCTGAGATTCATCAGACACACCAACAGAGACAAGAAAATATCTTTGCATTCTACAGTCATTTTACGCCATTTTTTCTTTTATTGGCAGTGGCAACCACAAGCGCAAGCACAAATGCATAGTTCGGACCATTCAGCGGATTAGCAAACACGGTAAGTGACAGTGAGTGGCCCTTGCTGAAAGGTCTTATTATGATTCGATTTCTGTTTATATTTTGATTAGTTTTCAAGAAGCGGCTAATAAAGAAAAGAATAAATTAAAAATTCTAACTATGAAAAAAATAATTAAAAAAAAAAAATCTGAAATTTTTCAGATTTTAAATTACGTCTAAAGGGGCGTTTTTTAAACGTTTTGTGTATTACCGTTATTTATTAAATATAATGTTCTTTGCACTTAAAATTCATTTCAATAGCAATGTCGCAAAATATTAATTTTAAAATGAGCATATCTTTGGAATTTCCGATATACAGTTCCGCGCGCTAGAGATAAAAATGCCATTTTGTCCCCGTAAAGTGTTGTCATTGCTCGCTTTTAAATCTTTGAGTTTGTTACTCAAAAATTCGTTTAAAATTTTAGAAAATATGAAATCGATAATAAAACAAATTCCAAATTTCAAATTTGTCTTCCACATGCCCATATTTGTAAGAGGATTACGTCATTCAAAATTCGATGGCTCTCTGTACTGCTGTTTTATCACAATGCGAGAAATAGACATACATTTATGCAGATTTTTCATTATTTAATTTCTTCAAATATAATGCAGGACTCTAACATTTGGTGGCAACAGTTTGGAAAGTGAAACGGACATTTATAGTGATTCAACGCAAAATCGCAAAAAGAAAACAATAGTCCTTCAGGGACAAAGCCCCTTTGGACTTAAAAAAAATCTCTAAATAAACTATTAAAAGCTTGAGTTTTGGAAATCCTCAGACCTAACAAATAACCTAACCTCGCTTTTATACCTAACAAATACCTGGTAGACGGGTTTGTGAGTGGCAAAGTGCCAACTATGTTCTGGCACCCTACAGTTAGTAATTACATTCCGAAGTTACTCAATCCGGATTGCTATTAGGTCAACAGCATATAACTATTTTAAAATCATAATATTTCGGTCCATTTAAATTCCTTTGAAATTTCAACAAGCTTAAGACTTATCACATTTAAAAACATATTAAGTTAAGGACTTTTACCATCAGGTGAGTTGGCAGCGACGTAACCGACCAGGAGGAGGAGCAGAAGTATCTTCATGATGCTGTAAAGTAAAATTTTATATTAGTATTTTGCTCTTTAATCCCTGTTTTAGGCAGTAATCTTTATGCTACTGCAAGGATCAAAATACTTCAGCGAATAATCTATTTTATTTGTATAACTGAAATTATTTAAATTTTTAAAAGGTAACAATAATAACTTAAAGGGACAGTTTTTGAAGAAAGTATACATTTTACTGACTGAAATCATGAACTGGTGTGCGGAATTAATTTGAAATTCCATATATCTTACATTTGTTTCTAATATTTTAATTAAACGTTTTCCTTCTTCGATATTAGCCGACACCTGTTGATAGATCGCCTTAGTGCCTGGTTCTCATAAGAAGCAATCCAAAACTAGTTATTGTGTAGTGCTATTTTTAGAACCGAGAGGAGAATACCGAAATTAAAATGAAGAATGAATGGCTATTGCTAATTTAAATTATAATTTTGAATTTTATAATTTTTCTTGCATATATAAACAAACGAAAACTAGTTTTTTTATGTTGTTTTTATAGTATTTAATCTTTACTAGTGAAGCTCACGCTCGTATGCTTAGTATCTGCTGGCAAGATCGACATACAGTACTGCTGTTTTGTTCTTTTGATTCTTAACCCTTAGCAAACTTGATTATCGCTTCTGAAGCTGTCAATTTTGATTTCCTTGTAGAGAAATTAGTTATTTTGGAAGCAGGCAAGGTGAAAAATATGCAACGCCTTCGCCAGGAATCAAATTACGGACCTCTTAATTACGCGCTGAGCGTACAGACCACTACACCACGAAGCCTCGCTAAGAAGGCGGGAGAAATACCTTATATATTTCCTCTTTTAAAGGGTGACTGGGATTTTTAGCGGACCCAATCGCCAAATCATGGGTGAGGAGAATCATCATCCAACATCCTTTTAGTTCGGGGGTCACTGTAGAGACATTAGGTATTTTGGAAGCAGGCAGGATGAAAAATATTCAACGCCTTCGCCGGGAATCGAACCACAGACCACTCAATTACGCGCTGAGCGTACACACCACTACATCACGAAGGCTCGCTAAGAAGGCGGGAGAAATACCTTATATCCTAACTTTTCTTACTATTCGTATAATTTGGTGGAGAAAATATCTGATGCTTGAGTTTTGCAGCCATGAAAATTTATCTTAATTCTATAGAAGGAATGGAAGTTTTTGTCTTGACCGTTTCGCCAAAATTTGTTTTGGAGCCAGTTTCCTTTTGTTGATATCATCACGAGAAAAGCCCGAAAAATATTTAATTCGAATACTGGTGCTGGAACTTCCGATTAAGAGACAACTTTTAAAAATTTCTAGTACTTCTTTTTGCTTGCACTCTTCAGATCCTCGAAAAGAGTTAATATATGAACCTAGGTAAAAATACCGGGTGACGTTTCTTCAGGTTTGAGAGGAGAGTTTCTCCTTTGATAACTGTAGCGCTGGGCCTGGTGATTAATCAGTTTGGAATTCTCGATATACGAGTTCATATTGAAAATATCGTTCAGATTACATATAAGTTTCCTTTCAGAACTTCTCCGCAATTCTTGAAAAATGAACGACAGTTTTTCTATCGTTTTATCTTTAGTTTTGGTAAAAATGCTTTATTTTAAGAACTGGAAATTACTTCCTCATAGTAGGTATTCTCTACCTTCCTTAAAAAAAAAAAAAAAAAAAAAAAAAAAAAAAAAAAATAGCAATTTTGTTTTCTTTGCATTTGCGTTAAGAAAAAGTGAAAGTGCTCGTCAGTCCACAGGGTACTTGACATCTAGTCCATGTTGTTATCTATAGGACCCCAGTTTGCTAATTCATGATGTCTCTTGAAATCGTCTGGTTTCAGTAGGATATATGAGTGTGATTAGTATGATCCTAAATGATTGTCACACAGTCTCGTAGAAATGACAGTCTTTCAGGACCGCCTTCTGTTGGTGAAAAATATGACTATTCTGGAAATAAAAATCTTTCATTAATAAAAAAAAAAACCTATTTCATTTTGCGCATTTCTATGAAAAACACTTCATGATGCTGTCTGTCTGAATTGTAATAGTACATTGTCAACTGACAATAATTGACAATGATACAACTTCTCTTTCTTGTTTATCATCTGAATTCAATTTTTCCTTTTTAATTAAATTATTTTAGTTTATAAATTTGGTTGCCTTTATTTCACTATAATAAAATTTGGTACTGTTTACATAGTTTACTTCTTACAACTTCAAAATACGTTTCATGGAATTTATGAATAACCCTATATATACATTTCTAATACTTTCCATTGCGGAATATGTTCATTTGATTGTAAATGTTTATAATATTGACTTTAATAAATATAAAAAATTCAACAGAGAGATATAAAATTGTATAGTTAAACTCTAAGAGATTATGAAAATTTACAACCGTTCCGTGGTTTTTGTTTTAATGTTTTATTTTATTTGTTTTAAACAGTTAATAAATCTTAACATTAATTAGCACGAGACATATATATATATATATATACAAAGACCTTTATATTACCCAGGAAACTGTTATTCACAGAGATTTGACGTTTTTCTGAGATAGTATTATTAACAGTGTAAAATTTCTCTTAATTTCACTAACCAGATATTTTATGTTAACGTGCATTTCTGTCCTCGTTTTCCATTTTCCTGCCAGAATGTAAACTTCTAGTTCGCATGCATTCAAATGAGGTAGAAAGGAGATAATATTTAAAGGAAGGTTTTAGAGAATAAAATTATAGCGTGTTTCGCCTTCTGAAGGCCACGTTGCTCAACTGATTCTCTTGACAGCTGTGTTCTCCGGCGCTGCATTATTCTCGACGCTAGGCTCGTCGCGTCGACTTTAGGTAAAACCAACTTGCGCGTTTCTCCATTTGTATAGCCGCTAGACTAACTTACATTAACTTACATTTACTTATTAACTTACGTTTACTTAGTTAAATCAAATTCGTTGCTTTTATTTTAAGCCATGCACGTTAGGTTAATGTTCCGTATTGAAAGGGTAAATATGCAATTTTCACTTTAATTCCTTTTTTTTTTTTTTTCCTCAAGGCAATGTAACTTTTCATATTCATTGTACATATGTACACAAGATATAATTTAAAACTTACTAAGATTATTTTTCTTCTTCTTTTAGCTTTAGAATGCTTTGATTAAATAAAAAAGATATACAATTGGAAATATTTTAGATCTGTTTTTAGGTTCATCCCTTTTAATGAATGCTGTTTTCAAATATATTTTATTAAATTAACTCACTGTATTGTCATACTGCTGCACATTCATTAGCAAATATATTTATATAACAAGAAATGTGTCGTTATTTATCCGAATAGAAAGACGAAATTTTTTACCTTAAAATACTTTTATTTAAACTACTCATACATACAGATTAACATTTAAAAATATGGAAGAGGAATGAAGTATTTTTTAATTTTTAAATTAAAACTGAATATATTTAGATATTTAATTTTGTAAGAAACTAAATAAAGTTTCAACGTTATTAATTTAGGTTTCCTTATGCAAATAATTATTTATACGAAATTTTGCCTCAGTGTTTATAAAAATAAGTAAATTGATTAAACAAATGATTTATTTATTTTTGTAAATAGTGAGGTAAAAGTATTTTCAAAGAAAATTTTAATTGTAAATACACAAAACTTCTTAAAATTACATTTCATGCAAAAATACCTGCTTAAATTATTTCATTATTGCTCTTTACTCTTTCATTATGACTTTCTTAAACAGGTTTAATCATCGTACTTCGAGACTGAATTGAATATCTTCAATATATAAAGCTGAGTATGTGAGGTTGTCTTACAGGCGAAATATATATATATATATATTTTTGGCTTGTGAATTGCCTTAAAAAGTGCAAGGTCTTTGATATATGAGCCCATTCTAAATATAAAATTCTTGCATCTGACGTAAGACAGGACAGTCTTAAAACTTATATTAAAAGTAAGCATATATCAATATACTAATTTCTCTCTCAATTTCATGCATTTAAATATAGATTCATGCCATTCTCAGTTCACGCCTTTAAATCCATTTTAGGTAAATTCAATATTTGCATAAAATGCATTATGTTTTAAACTGAAAATTATTGTATACTTACAGGCTGAAGGAAAATGTTGGATTATCTCGCTTTTTTCGGTCCCTATGCGTTTTAAAAATTTACCTTATTATCTATGCATCACGTGTATGTTCTAAACACCTGCTAATTTCTTCACCTTGAAGTTATTATCTTAAACTTCATAAAAATTATTATAGTTTTCAGAAGACATGTTTATCTGAAGAAAACTGATAAAATTATTTAATTTTTGATAGTGCCTAATTTGTATTTTGTGAAAGAACTGAAAAAGCTAAAAAGTGTAGCATTATGGAAAACTTTCTTGAGATTCTGACCAACTGTTGCAAATGAAACAACTTTTTTGATATAATAAATAGTCTCTAGAATATTAACTTTAAATAATTAAAAATATTTCTTTCATTCTCTAAAACATTGATAAAGTAACCTTATGACAAAATAAAGTTTAAGAAAAATAAATTATATAATAAATTTATTATGTATGATAGAAGATTTGGGATTTTATAACAAGTACTAAAAATTCTGTTGTTAACATTATTAGGTACCTATATTTAAAATAATCTGATAAAAAAGCAATCCCGTTTAACAGTATAGCATTTTTTGTAGACAAGCACAATTTGTTTTGTTATTGTTCCTTGTAGAAACAAGGCCGGCACCTGTGCACTCCCGTAGGAATATACACTTCGTGCGCAAAATTAAGAGAATTTGTTAATTAAGCCTATTTAAAGGTATTAACTATGCCAGTGAAGAATTATGAAAATATTCATTGCCGAATACGTAAGCGTACATGTGCGTGTGTGCAAAGCTGTGATGGTGGAGGGGATATACTATGTGCACGAGAAGTTTTCGGTGATTTGTGCGTTCGTTTCTCGCAATATCTGGGTAAATTTTATAAGATTATCGGAATTCATTTAATTTAGCTATCAGTTAATTTTTATTTCAAAGCAACTTTTCTTTGATTCTCGTTTTCAACCCACGCTTTCTTGCCAGAAGCTGGACCACGTGTACTATCTATCTACGAGAAGAACAGTTCCCGCAACAGTATCTGGCGGGTGGCGGTTGCTATAGCAACAGGGCTAGTATATTTCAAATAAGAACGAATTAAGGGAATTTTATTGTTATTTTGTTTTTAGCGACTGTTGGCTGAGGGAAAAAGAGTTTGACATGCGTCTTCAAGACACCCCTACGGAAAATGGGTCAAAGCTCGTTTCTACGGCAACACACAGCTGCAGACTAATTAGCGAGAGCTTTTCTTATGATAGATAGACTGTATTCAAATGAGATAGAAAGAAGTAGCATTTAAGGGAAAGTTTGGAAGGTGACTTTAGGGCGTGTTATGCCTCCTTGAAGGCCACATTGTTATCTTGATTTACTAGCGATTAGATGTCTGCGGCGTTGAGCTCTTCTAGCCATTGGGCTTCTTTCGCCGATATTTACGAGTCAGAGCCATCTTGGCCGTTTAATTATCATGTGAACCGTTAGGCTAAACTTACTATATTTAATTTTAAGTTCATCATTACCTTTACGAGTAAGCCATGTTGGCTTCTATAAGCAGGAGTCGGGCCGTCTGTGATTACATTGAGTTAATAAATGTTATTTAACCCTTCTGTGGACTTTGCCGTACTTAAGACTTGAGGGCAATTCCTCACACAGTCTTCTAGTGTCTCGTTAAATTTATGCTTGCGTAAAACATAGGTAATAAAATGAGTAGCCAGGAACATATGGATGACGGAATCAGATGGAGAACTGTCGGCAGATTGGAGGCAGTCTTTTCTTAAATGCAGTGGCTATAGAGCTCAATTTAACGTTCAGTGTCGTGTGCAGTTTTCGAAATCAGTTTCAGGACACTGTGCTTTCTTAGTTGTTAACACCTCACCAGCGGCGAGTGAATCAGACCGCCGAAGCTGCGTGCGCGAAAATGAATTGTAACAGTAACAATAAGATACAAAAATCAGTTTTCTCAACATTTTTTATTTTGATTAGATTTTTATACTGATTATTTCCAACAGCTGAATGCAGTTGACTAGGAAATAAATTTTTCTGTGCAGTTTATTGCAATACTCAAAATCATTCGCACTCTCATATCTTAGAGGGAAACAGGTTGGCAAGTTCGATCTGTAGTCGATCACACACTAAACATTTGACTGCATGATAGTTTTTTGGGTTTTCCCCCCACGTGTAGCATAAATAGGAGCAAGTTTCTCCACAAAGGCATCTCTTTCCTTAGACAGACAGCCCTGCTTATTTTATCGTATTCACATTTTAATCTAACCTAACCTTAATTGCTTACATCATATTTTCCATCAAGATGTTAAAATTAGTAGTTTATAATTATTCCAATATAAAACTTAATTGTGACTTGTATGTTTTGCCATTATTTCTATTTGATTTCATTTTGCGTACCGTATTGAAGCAGCAGCACATTTTTATATATTATAAAGCTCTTCATGTTTTAATTTTGAATCATTATTTTTAATAGTAAATTAGCATTGAGTACAGTACGTAATTATTCGGAAAGAATCAAGATAATCAACTTTACCTTCTACTGTTCATGCAAGGCCAGTGAAAACTAATTCTCCAGTCATGCTTAAAGGATAACTTTGTTATACGTATCATTTTCAGCGAACAAACCGCTATAATGGATCTTCGAAAAGATTAACCTGTAATTGAATGAAGCATTTTATTATGTATGTAGGTTAGCATTCTTAATAATGATACTTTTCTTTCTCAGAAATAAATGCAAAGTTTTCAAGAATTTTCCTTTTCCCCAGGAATGGGAGTATGGAATTAGAAAAAAATGAGGGTGTATGTATATATGCATTAAAAACTGTATACTTTATGACAGTTTGCACAACTAAAATTATTCTGCTTGCTAAAAAATAAATAATTTATTAAAAAATGTTTCCCCGTTAAAAAGACTCCTCAGTGTCCTCTAACGAAAACTCTTTTGAAACATAGAGCATCAAGACTAATTTTGAACTTTCTAATCAAATAGGCTACAAATCATTAGTTGTCAATTTATTTATTAGAAGGTTCAAAATTATCCTTTATGATAAATATTGGTAAAATAATTTCTAATTAATCAAAAAACTGCGGATAGACATAGAATTTATTCGTAACGCATAAAACGTATGTTCAATGCTTGAAATTGTGGCATTTCTCTCACAAATAATTACAATCCCTTTTAAAAATCCAAATATAAAAACTGTTCGTGAACCTGAGCAAAATTTATAGATTGCACAAATTTTACGTCAGTGATTACAGTTGTATTAAGTCGTTTAGTTCCCACGAGTTCATGTTTTCTTCATTTACCAATCTAAGCAAGCCGGAAATATTATATGATCAACGGAAGTCCCGGTCAATAGAATCCTAATGAAATCTTCTGATGATTCAAAAGGCTTAGAAGAAGAACTCACATAATATCAGGCACTATTGAAATCCTATAATATGTTCCCATGGGCCTCTCATTAACCCATTTTATAAGGAGTTTTGATTATGTGCCAAATCACTGCTTTGTCACGCAGTTTAAAAAGCAGCTTCAGTTAGTCTTTAAGCCCCAAACAGTTCTTTAAGACACTTGTAAATACCTTATTTTGTTCTAACCAATTATGCTTAGTTTAAGAAATTTTTCTCTGCCTTCTAATTTCACTTTCTTGATTTATTGACATATATGCAAATCTAAGTGAATTCAGAAACAGTATTTAAGTAGCAGATTTTAAGATTTCGAGGTAGGAGAGTTAGTTCTGAATTTATGCCCAGTGTTTGAAAAGCAGCTTTGTAGTTGAATAGTTGATGCTGAGCCACTTACTTTAGATTATATTGATATTCTCGGCTCCGATTTGTTGTGTGCAGCCGATAGACGGTCTAGATAGAGTAGGAGATAGTCGTGTAGGTAACTTTAATTTATTGTGATTGTACACACTATTTTTTTTTTCAAGTTACTTAGCCACAAGTGGTGGTTAATCTGTTATCATCCTGTGAGTGCATTTTCTGTTCCTTTTAGTTGAAATAAAAAGGCTGTTATAATCTTCGTCAGCAGTCATCTGTTCCTTCGAGACATAGCTAGAATTCGCTACTCCATCTTCCAGTAGGGTCTACAGTTTATGCTTCCAAAACACGTTAGAAGACATTACACACTAGCAATGAAATTTTCTTAGTGCACTCTAGAAAAATCTTAATAATTTAAAATAAATTATTTAAAAAACGATAAAAGGAAAAACTATTCTCAATTTTTTAAAAAAATATTTGAAGCAAAATACCAAACATGTTTTAAACAAGAAAAATTCACAATTTCATTTTGTTATTTAAATGAAGATTAATTCATGTAACCCCGAAAATTGGGAACGCTAAAAAAGCGGTGAACTAAAATAGGATCATTCAATTGTAATATCTTAATTTTCTAATACTTTTAAGATATTGTTTAGAAATAATATTTAATGTATGTTTTTATTTGTTAAGATTAAATTTCTTTTATGCATTTTTTACACTTATTCTTTCTCTTCGACCTAGCGAAAGACATATAAACAATACTTTTTCTGTGCTTTCAAATATATTCCGAAAATGAGTAAAAGGTAGAATTCAATGTTTTCTTAATTACCAAATTTTAACTGTAGACCGTGAAACTTAAAACAATTAATATATTCAACTGAAAAAACGCGAGAGCTTTATTAATAATATACATTTTCTCCCATCATCGGAAAAGAAAAAGTACTTAAATAAATTTTCATGGAAGAAAGCTTATTCGTTAAGCCATCAAGCTTTCTCAATGATTATTGAAACCTAGCGAAAAAAAGTATGTTTACTTACCAGAGTCAGTTTCTATAAGCCATGATACGTTATATTCATGGCATCCTTTTTATATCAGAAATTTAATCGATTGAGGAAGAGCCGAATTTATAGAAAGTGTGCTGCTTGGTATGAGGGCACTTTTGCACCCACGCATATTTAATATGTTGTCCACTGTTCTCCAGCTGCTTCAACCGTACGTGCTTTTTCAAAATTTCATTTGTCACGAACTTCATCGCAAGAGAAGAATGCTGATGCAGCGGCTCGTTTTGAGATTTTCCTTGAAATTAATTCTATATTAGGAAACTCTTCTTTTGGAGTACCCAGAAGTGGACTAAAATTAGATGTGTTTGTTCTGTTCTAAAACGAGATGTATCTTTTCAAACAGATGTAGAAAGATAATTTTCTCTAGGTTAGTGTTTTGCTTGGAATGTGTTACGTTTCAAAGAAAGAAAACCTAGGTTTGGTAAACATTACAAAATTTTATCTCAGTTCTCTTATTCAACCATTCTTTTCCTTAGCGATGATGGGACAATCGAATCTTTGAATACTCGAATTCTGAAAATCATGAAAAATGTTTGAGTGTCGAAAATTTGATTCTTTGGGCTTCCTTCGTCATTCGAATATTTCATATTTTTACTGAAAAATCCGGTATATGCTTTTAATTGAAATTCTAGGAAGATTACTTTTAGTGAACTAAAAGTATTTACTAAGGAAAAGGTAAGTGATTAATCAGTTTTATTGATATTTGGGTTACTAGTATCATCTTGCTGAAGCCTGAGTGAAACACTGTTCCAACATGTCGTATAGCATTTCATGTTTAGTATTTATTTTAGATCACCAAACCGGAATAGTGGTAGCGATGTTGACTGCCGTACCGAAGGGCCCGGGCTCGAATCCCAGAGAAGGCATGGATATTCGTAAATGTATAGTGTCTGTGTGGCATGGAGTCACTTTAAACATTTGATGAGCCGAACGTCCTCTCGAGAGGTTGGTGGTAGGGTAAGAGCGGTTGGAAGACCCTCGGACCCGTCCCTCCTGGGATACTCTCCATCAAAACAGGGGAGACGGAATTGAGAAAAGTCGTAGTGTAACCTGTAGGGTGTTTAAGTCTCTTGCTAACGACAGGAGCAATCTTGCTCATCTTGCCACGACGTATTTCGTGGGCTTGTTCTGTGTTTTGCTGTTACTGTCAGATAAGTGAGATATGTCACTATTGTTGTCCCTCTTTCGTTTTACGAGAATAAACCTGGAAACAACTATAGTGGTAACTAACTATGGCTACAGTATTTGTTGCGCGAACTTAAAAAATAAAATAGTGTAGTGGAAAAATTGTGCATCGCTTTAATGGCAACAGCGGATGATATTCCATATATTTTGTTTTAAATACAGCCAATTCATTTTGCGATTCTAATTGCGTTCTAATTTGGATGGAATGAAATCCGCTGCGGATATTAGGGATGTTTCTCAATTTGCAGCCTTTTAGAAAATGAGAACTCCTGTGCTTAAGTTTGCGGTATTTAAATTACAAAAGTGTTCTTAAGGTCAGAAAAATAACGCCGGGCTTACTCTCGATGTACAGATAAGTGATATTTTATGTTATTGTGGTTATATATAATTTGCAAATATAACTGTGAATGGAATTCTATTAATTGCTTTCAAAAAAACTGGAATAGTATTTTAATTTGTAGATGTTGAGTATACATTCTATGTCTGAGCCATCTGCAGTCAAGTGTGAAAAGTAAGAATTTTTGCTCGTGACGACACCACATTCAGTTTCCAATTACTTTTAACAACTTTAATAGCTTTAAAATTTACAAGATGGCCAATAAGAAAAAATTAATCAGTGCACACATAAGAACAGTATAATTTTGAAAAATTATTTGCAATATAAGCACATTCTTTATATAACATTATTAATGTCTTCTTTAGTCAAGCTATTATTACGCTCGGCTTTAGGCCGAGCGTAATAATAGCTTGAGTAAAGAAGTACTTTAGGCCCTTGATAGCTTCGCATCTAATTAGTGTTAAGGGGTCAACTCCGTTAGAAGGTTGATAGTTTCGGCTATATCTTTTTTAGTTTAAGATTAGTTTAGTTTAGTTCTTAGTCTCTTAAATTCAAGTCCGAGACCTTCTTACTTGTTATTTCCTGTACCACGAAATCAAGCGATTATTCGCTTATCAATTCTTAAGATTCTTCACATCCAGCTGTAACTTTAAAGTACACAGTAAGAATCTTACAACTTTAAGGCGCATACTATGGAGTCAAAAAGTAACACAGGTCCCAGTTTTCTGTATGTTTTAAATCATCTCGTTGAACTTATCTCTTTCCTTTCTTTTAAAGAACGAATATGGCAATATGTCTTGTAGAGTCATTAGGTTAATTGGAAGCAGAAAAGATGAAAAATATGCAACCGCCTTCGCCGAGAATCGAACCACGGACTTCTGAAATACCGGCTCAGTGTGCAGAACAACTACACCACGAAGGCGCGCTAGGTAAGTTGAAGAAATACCTTATATACTCCCCTTTTTAAAGGGCGACTAGGGTTTTAGGGGACCTAGTCACCAACTCCTGGGTGCGGAGGATCATCATCCACAACCCTTTTAGTTCAGGTGCCACCTGTAGAGTCATTAAGATTTTTTTTTTGAAAGCAAGAGAGATGAAATATAGCAACCGCCTTCGCCGGGAATCGAGACCTCTGATGGAATACCGGCCCAGCGTGCTACCGTTACACCACGAAGGACGCTAGGGAAGTGGGAGAAATACCTTATAGTATGTCTCGGGTTATTTAGATGACATGCTAATCTCAGAAAATGAAGTCTTTGCAGTCAGTACAAGAGG